GCCTCCTGCATGCTCCCTGACTGGGGCGGGGATTGATTCTGCAACCCAGGTATGTGCCCTTGACCGGGAATTGAACCAGCGACCCTGATCCTTTGGTGGATGGGCCGACACTCTAACATTCTCACACCGGCCAAAGCTGTTTATTTTTTAACCCTCACCCGAAGATATGCTTACTGATTTTAGAAAGAGGGAAAGGGGAAGAGAGAGAGAGAGAAACATTGATGTGATAGAAAACATCATTTGGTTGCCTTCCAGTATGTGCCCTGACCGGGGGTGGAACCAGAAATCTAGGTACATGCCCTGACTGGGAATTGAACTGGAAACCTTTTAGTATACTGGATGATGCTCCAACCAACAGCCACACCAGCTAAGGCAGGAATATGTTTTAAGATATAAAATTTCTTAAAATGTTTAGTGAGAAAAGCAAAATACAAAGAGTATGAACAATAGAAGTTGAACTGTATTTAAATATATATGTAAGGATTAATGTCATTAAACTGTCCATACTACCCAAAGCAGTCTACATAGTCAATGCAGTCCCCATCAAAGTACCAATGGGATTCTTCTCAGAACTAGAACAAATAACCCTAAAAATTATGTGGAACCACAAAAGACCCTGAATAACTATAGCAATCTTGAGAAAGAACAAAGTTGAATGTATCATGCTCCCTGATTTCAAGCTATATTACAAAGCTATGATTAAAACAGTATGGCACTGGCACAAAAACAGATATAGATCAATGGAACAAAATAGAGAGCCCACAAATAAATTCTCACTCATATGGTCAATTAATCTATAACAAAGGAAGCAAGAATATACAATGGAGAAGTGGTAGTCTCTTCAGTAACTGGTGTTCGAACAACTGGACAAATACATGCAAAAACATTTAAACTGGACCACTCTCTTATACCATATACAGAAAATGAACCCAAAATGGATTAAGAACCTAATATAAGACCCAAAACCATAAAACTCATTGAAGAAAATACATATAGTAAACTTTTTTGACCTCAGTCTTTGTATAATATCCTTTTGGATATGTTTCCTCTGGCAAGGAAAACAAAAGCAAAAGTAAAAAAATGGGACTATATCAAACTAAAAAGCTTCTGCACAGTGAAGGAAACCATCAACAAAACAAGACAACCTACTGAATGTGAGAAGATATTCACAAATTATGTATTCCACAAGGGCTCAATATCTAAAATATATAAGGAACTCATACAACTCAACGTCAAAAAACAAAAAAATGAGAAGAGGACATGAATAGACATTTCTCCAAATCAGATGGCCAATAGGCATGTGAAAAGATGCTCAACATCACTAATCATTAGGGAGATGCAAATCAAAACCACAACGAAATACCACTTCATACCTGTCAGATGGTTATCAAAAAGTCAACAAATAAGCTGGAAAAAAGAGAACCCTTCAGCACTGTTGGTGGGATTGTAAATTGATGCAGGCACTATGGAAAACGGTATGGAGATTCCTTTAAAAATTAAAAATAGAACTACCACACTACCCAGCCATTCCATTTCTATTTGTCAAACAAAAAAACCCCATAACACTAATTCAAAACAATACAGGGTAGGACAAAAGTAAGTATACAGTTGTTTGTATGGAAAATAATTAATAATTAATAAACAACACAAGAATAAACTGTTTCACATACTCACAACTGTATACCTACTTTTGCCCCACCCTGTATGTGCACCCCTATGTTTATTGCAGCATTTTATTTACAATAGCCAAGATGTGGAAACAGTGTAGGTATACATCAATAGGTGAATGGATAAAGAAGATGTACATATGTACAATAGAATATTACTCATCAATAAAAATGAAATCTTGCCCTTTGCCTTTTTTTACTGGCAGTTTCTTTTGCTGTGCTGAAGCTAAAGGGTCTCTAAAGTCCCAAACATTCAGTTANTGGCAGTGCCTCAAAGTGTTAAATGCAGAATTACCACATGACCCAGCAAATCTACTCATAGATGTATATAAACCCAAGAGAAAAGAAAAATAACCCATACAAAAACTTGTATGTGAATGTTCATAGCTGTATTCACATTAGCCAAAGAGTGGAAAAAATAAAAATGTCCAACAGATGAATGAATAAATAAAATGTGCTATACCCATACAATAAAACATTATAAATAAAGCATATAAAAATAAACAGTAATGAATAATAAATAAAAAGAAATGAAGTACTGACACATACTACTCTATTGATAAAAAAAAGAAACCCTATACCCATTGTCAGTCAGTCCTGTTCCCTCCTAACCTCCCAGACCCAGGTAATATTTCTGTCTCTATAGTTTACCTATTCTGGACTTTTCATATAAATTCAGTCATGCAACACGTGGTTTTTTGTCACTGGCTATTTCACTCAGCATAATATTTTCAAGTTTTTATCAATAGAGTAGTATGTGTCAGTACTTCATTTCTTTTTATTTATTATTCATTACTGTTTATTTTTATATGCTTTATTTATAATGTTTTATTGTATGGGTATAGCACATTTTATTTATTCATTCATCTGTTGGACATTTTTATTTTTTCCACTCTTTGGCTAATGTGAATACAGCTATGAACATTCACATACAAGTTTTTGTATGGGTTATTTTTCTTTTCTCTTGGGTTTATATACATCTATGAGTAGATTTGCTGGGTCATGTGGTAATTCTGCATTTAACACTTTGAGGCACTGCCAGACTTTTCCAGAGTGGCTGTACCATTTTATAACCCCGTCAGCAATGTGTGAGGGTTCCAATATCACAGTATCCCCATCAACACTTGTTGTCTGTCATTTTGATTATAACCATCCTAGTGGGTGTGAAGGATAGATCATTATGGTTTTGATTTGATTTGCATTTCCATGATGACTAATGGCCATGTGCATACATTCTTTGGAGAAATCTCTTCAAATCCTTTGCCCATTTTAAAAAGTAGGTTATTTGCCTTTTTATCAACTTGTAAGAATTCTGTAAATATTTTGGATGTAAGTTCTTCATTTGTTATTTTTTCCTATCTGTGGTTGTCTTTTCACTTTCATGATGGTGTCCTTTAAAATCATGAGTTTAATTTTTATGAAGACCAATTTATTTATATTTTCTTGTGCTTTTAGTGTCATTCCTAATAAACCATTGCCTAATCCAAGGTCACTAAGATTTACATCTATTTTTTCCAATACTTTTAGTTTTAACTCTTCCATTTAGGACTTTGATCGATTTTGAGTTAATTTTTGTATATGGTGTAAGGAAGTGTTCTAACTCCATTCTTTTCAAGGGGCTATTCAATTGTCCCAGCACCATTTGTTGAAGAAAAAAAAAAAATGTATTTTTTCAGTGAATTGTCTTAGCTTGTTGAAAATCATGTAACAATAAATGTAAAGGTTTAATTCTGGACTCCTAACTTTATTTCCATTGACCTGTATGTCCATACATTTATATTTTTCTTTCATTCATTTTACAAAGATTTATTAAGCATCTTTATTTGCTAAACATTGCTCGTCATGTCCATGTTACTTGCTTTTTAGAACAAACCAAACCCTCTTGAAGCCCAAGTCCTCTTTTTTTAAAATATATTTTTTTATTGATTGATTGATTTGAGAGAGAGAGAGAGGAGAGAGATTTGTTGTTCTACTTACTTATGTACTCATTTGGTTGCTTCTTGTTTGTGCCCAGACCAGAGTTTGAACCTGCAACCTTGGTGTATTGGGGCTGTGCTCTAAACAACTGAGCTACCTGGCCAGGGCAATGCAAATCCTCTTTAAGAAACTCATTCTAACAGGATATAGTATCTCTTAATGAGATATAAAGTGATTTCCTTTCATAACCAAACCTATACAGGCGGTTATATCTCTATCTGATTTGTACACACTCTTTTGGCAAGTCATAGTTTGTCCAACTATATAAATGTTCAGAAGCCTGAGTGCATTTTAGAGGGTTTCGAAATTGGTCTGGGATAGTCCAGTGAATGTATTGAATGAGGTTAGTTTTAAAGTGGAAGAAGAATCTATGACTGTGGTAAGAGGTTCCTGGCAGGTGTGGAGTGGCTCATATGCAACTTGATAGGTCCAGGAAGTTGGTAAGTCTAGTTGCTGACAGCCGTGAGACCAGAGAAGAATGGTGAGGGGGTGCTGGCTTATATATCCACAATTCTACTTTTAGATTTTATTTTAGTAGCAGTCTCTTGCCAGTGTGAAGTTACAAAGAGAAAATGATGTTTATAGATACGGCTTATTGCTGGGTTTAAGATGACCTAAAGGAGGCAAGAATTTTATACCATGGTAGTGGCTGGTCTCTAGATAGAGACTGTGGTTGTAGAAAGTGAAGGGGGAGGCCAAAGACATGCAAACTTAGCAGAACTTGAGGATTATGTAAAATAATTAAAGCTGATTCCAGTGTTATAACTTGAGGACATTGGGAGGATAATTGTACCACTGCTTACTGTAGTAAACAAGATGAGAAGAAGTGGTCTATAAAGATAATAAACTTTGATTTTGCTATGCTTGTTGGCAAAATCTTTAAATGAATTATGAAAGATACCAACTTAACCATTAGATAGTATATCAAGTCTGATATTCAGGAGCTTCCAGTGTTCATTAGACACAAATGCAGTTGATTTCCCTTTTATAGGTGCCTATTTATTTTTGAAACCCACATTATAAATGAACTTTCAGTGTCTAATTTTAAAGGTTAAGCAATGGTTTTATTTTCTCTACCTACGTGGTAAGTGTAAAAAATATTTTATTTGGTTAGGCTTAAGAAGGGTACCTAGATACCATGGTTTGCTATTGTGATTAACCATATTGTTTTCAGGGAGGAAAAAGTTTTTAATATTTACTACATTGAAAATCATAGTCTATATAGCAATAAAGATAAATTTCATTTGTTCAAGATGGTTTTGTGTCCAAACATTAAAATTTGAATGTTTTAGAAAATTTATTTCATGTGAATCTTAGTACAGTACATTTATTTACCCATCCTAAAATTTCTTTCAGGAATTGTTCCATCTTCTGTTGTCCTTACTTCTTTCCAAGTGATGTCAAGAGTTTTTCTAATCTGGGCAGTAACACATAGTGTCAAAGAGGTAAGTGTTTATATAGACTGAAATAAAATAATATCAGCACTAACAAATGCTAGTCAACTTTTCTTTCTCACATGTGTGTTACAGATGGAATCCCATGTCACATCCATGTAGCCCAGATAAAGTTCATATTCACTGTAGGAATTGGGTTATTAGTGGGAAACGTACCCCAAATATGCAATGTTGTTAAAGAGAAGACTGATTAAATGACAAAGTCCTGCAATCTTCCATCCCATGGAGATTGGATAGTGTGCATGTAGTCTGAAAATCAGTTATATTCTTCTGGTATCTTGTTTGTATCCAGCACACTAAAATCTAGACAACTTATAGTGGGACTGTTGTGGGAGTAGAGGACATTAATTCATTCCCAGAACAGTCTGATCTTTTCTTTTTTAAATAATTTTTTATTTTTCAGTGAATATTATATTAGTTCCAGGTGTACAGCATAGTGATCACCCTGACAAATCAAGTACCCATCTGACACCAAACATAGTTATTACAGTATTATTGACTATTTCACATGCTGTACTTTATATCCCCTATTCTGTAACTATCAGTTTGTACTTTATCCCTTCACCTTTTTCACCCATCCCCCCAAAACCCCTCCCCTCTGGCAACCTTCAAAATGTTCTCTGTACAGAACAGTCTGATCTTTATAGGACCAGGAGAAACAAACTTGTTTCCGCACAGGCCACTAGGATTAATGGAATTCCCAAGTGTGCTGAGTCTAGTGGATCTGGGAGGTGAATGTTTTCAATGGGGCCTGGGTGGGAGATACCCTGGGCAGGCCCAGGGATGTTCCTTGTAAGAACTAGGGGGAGAAAGCCATCATTACCATAAGTGTGACTTTACAACTGAGCTTTCATTTCCTGGTATTGGGGAAGAAGGTGGTTTTCCTGTATGTTTTCTCCTTTTTCAAAGTCATTTATTTCTTGTTAATGTCACCTTGAAGTAAAGTATCTGTAGCTACCATGAGGATTCATTTTTCAGTTTTTTAGTCCCCAAAACCTATCACCAGCATTATTAGATTCTTTGGGGCTCATAAAATACACTCTCATCCATTAGCATTATTCTGATGTTTTCCTTACCCTCAATTCTTCTGAAATTTCTGTCAAAACATTTTGTTTTAGGGGATTTATTTTGACAGTTTCATTTGTATTTCAACTGAGTTTTTTTAAACTTTTTATTGGCATATGATATAGATAACAGAAAAATGCACATAGCTAATGACTTTTTAACCAGAGTTGATTAAGCTAAGTTATTATTTTTGTTAAATTATTATGGAATTTGCAAATGCACAGGCTTTTCTTTTTAAGCTCTCTCATTCCTTGATGATGTGTGAACTTTCTGCGCAGGGAGAGTGAAAACAATCACATCCTTTTTTTTTTCTTTTTTTTTTTTCTTGAGTGATCACATTTCTTTTTAAAAAAAAGGTTAAAAATAAAACAGGCAAAAAAATCCAAATGTAGTATATTGCCCTTTGTTCTCATTTTTGTTTATGGAGTAAGGAAAAGTTACTTTACTTGTACCATGTAACCTCTTTATTCATTTTAAAACTCTTTTTACGAATCATTTTAACCTGTATTTCTTGCTTCCTTACTTTTGTGTATACACTATTTCCTTTTCATTTTAAAAACAATTCATAGTTTTAACTTCCCAGTCATCTCAAGTGACCTATTTCTTTCTAATACTAACTCATTTACATTCTTAAATAGGTAATTATGTACTTTTAATAATTAAATGTTAAGTATGTGCAGACAGAGTACTGTCAACTATGGAGTGATTAATTGCTTTGCCAATACAGTCAGATATTAATTGTGCAGGTGCTAATGCTCCAGCTGATGGATTAGTCATGGCCTCTGCTCCTCCTCCTCTCGGTGACCACGTCTCTGCTTTTTGGCCCTTCTAGCAAACAGGATGGCCAGTAAATAAATGCTTACAATTCAAGTCAAGCAATTCTGTTAGCTGTATTACTGTTAGCAATGGCTTAAAAAGCTATTAAATGTCTCAAGGTTACAGGAACATGTCCTGTACGTGGCCATTGTCCTCAATAACAACAGATGGGTAGACTTGACATTTAGCAGATGGTGTCATATTTGAGCTTTGCAGTAATTTAAGTTATATACTTGTTAGGTTTGTATATTCAAAATTATTTCTCTGAACCAAATTTAACCACTTTCTACTATTGTTAACATTGTTTTCTTAAAGACTGTGGTACACTAAAATTTATTGTCTTACTGCCACCTCTGGTGACACTTTTACATACACCCTACTGGTCAGTTGACTTCATTCTTACATGAGTAGGATTCAAAGTTCCTGCTGCTCCAGGATCACAGTTTTTCCTCATTTCCCTTTTCTTTGAGCAGAACTCATTCATCGTTTATAGCACCTCACCCCAGGTCATTGATAGCTAACTTGAAAAGCCTATTTCTGTGGCATTTCAGAGGTCGTCTTATCACCTGTTCCTCCACTCCTTCTCTTAGCCAAGTGCTACTTTCCTGCCTTAGAGTTTCATATCAGCTTGTTCTATACAACATTACACATGACTTCCCTACTAAATTCCATTCTTTGTTTCCTGAAACATCTTTAAAATATCTTTATTTTCCTTATATTCAACTAGGTTTATTTTATTGGTGGGAACTACGTAAGTAATGCATAAGGAAATTAACCTCAGAAATAGCTGCTTAATAAAAGATATCTCGCTTTCTCATTTTAATGTTCAAATTCTTTTGATACTACTCTACTTTCATTCTCAGTTTCTTTTTACATCATAGTCCCCTCTACTGTGGACGAGAACTCCTCGTGTTCACAGCATTACATGGGGATTTGGACTCTTGCTTTACCCCCTCTGACCAGCTCATATTTTCCATGTTCATTCCCTTGTTTTTCACTAATTGTACATGATGTGCTATGGTATAGCCTATATGCCCTTTGAGGACTTGGTACTACTTTTTTCATATTTGAGGTATATTTCCTTTTAATAGGCCCTTCTCACTTGTCATTTTAATTCTCAACCCCATGGAATTCTAGTCCCATAAATATCACATACACTATAGAACTAAAAGGTGATCAGATAATTTTCTTTTATGACATATTAGGACCCATCTATCAGCTAGTGTGACATCTCTATTGGCAGGATATTAAAGGGTAAAAATGTGGTCTCTAAGTTCAAAAGCTTTTTCTTGACCTAATGTAACATAACCTTCCCACTCTTTTCCTTTTAAAGAGAAAAAAATATATATATGTATGTATGTGTGCAAAGCTCCAGACAAAAGCAACAAGCTCCTGGTGGGGCTTAGGAGATACAAGAGGGAATCAGTGATTGTAGCTGACTTCTTTCCAGTTTTCCCACCTGTCTCCCAGACCTGAACTGGCTTCTCCTCACCCCTTAGCTGAGCTGGCTACTACTGCTGCTGCATCGGGCCTTCCCGGGCGTTTGTTCCTCTCACCTTCTGTTTGAGCCTGTTCTTTCTCTTCACATTGAAGTAAAACAACATTGGCATTTTTCAGAGTAAACTGCAGTGGAAATGCCACCTTCACTACACACACCCCACTTAAAAACAGACAGGTTCACAGAATACATGCTCGTCCTTGTCCAAAAGCAGCTAAGCCGAGCCCCAGATTGCTGGATACACAAGTAGGCCACTGTCCCTTTTCCTGGCCCAGCCCTCTTTGAAGAAGCTACCCCACATTCTCTCCTGAGTTCTTAGTGTAAGATCAGAAGTCCCCAGTCACCTCCATGGGCAGTAGTTGAGAAAGAAGTTGCTAGACTCACTGTAGCTTTAGCGCAAGTACATCTGTACTTTACTAGGGGTAATTTACATAAAATAGAACTATCCTGGAATGCTGAGCCTTCTCTCCTTTCTTTCTCACCCTCTGCCACTATTGGAGAAAGGGATGTTTTCCCACATGCCTCTGGAATGTTCTGTGAGTGCTCCTGATTTCACCAGTCAGCTGTTCCCACCTCTTTGGGCATGCTACTGGACTTTGTGACACTTAATCTGCCATTCTTGCCAACTTTTCAGTAAGATGCTTATGAAAAGCTTATAATCAGTGTTTAAGAAAGTTAGTAACCTCCAATTTTTTATCATTATATTGGTTTTTGTTTGATGCGTTATAGTTTACAGAGAGCTCTTATATATATTATGATCATTCACTTTTTAAAAAAATTTATCTTTAATCTTTAGTGTTGAAAGTACTACAGGTGTCCCATTTTTCCCCCCAATTGACTCCCTCCACCTATTCCCACCCCCTCCCCAGGCCTTCACCCTGTCATTGTCCGTGTCCATGGGTTATGCACATATGCATATAACTTCTTTGGTCAATCTCCTCCCACCCTCCACCCCCCTTCCCTCTTCCCTCTGAAATATGATCGTCTGTCGCATGCATCAATATCTCTGGATCCACTTAGTCTGTTAGATTATTTTGTTCATTACCTTCTTCTTAAAGAAGACCCTTCAACATTTCACATAGTACTGGTCTGGTGGTGATGAACTCCTTTAGCTTTTCCTTGTCTGAGAAGCTCTTTGTCTGACCTTCAATTCTAAATGATAGCTTTGCTGGGTAGAGTAATCTTGGTTGTAGGTTCTTGCTTTTCATCACTTTGAATATTTCTTCCCACTCCTTCTGGCCTGCAGGGTTTCTGTTGAGAAATCAGCTGACAGTCGTATGGGTGCTCCCCTGTAGGTAACTAACTGCTATTCTCTTGCTGCTTTTAAGATTCTCTCTTTGTCTTTAACCTTTGGCATTTTAATTATGATGTGTCTTGCTGTGGGCCTCTTTGGGTTCCTCTTGTTTGGCACTCTCTGTGCTTCCTGGACTTGTAAGTCTGTTTCTTTCCCCAGGTAGGGGAAGGTTTCTGTCATTATTTTTTCAAATAGGTTTTCAATTTTTTGCTCTCTTTCTTCTCCTTCTGGTACCGCAGTAATACAAATGTTGGGCCTCTTGAAGTTGTCCCAGAGACTCCTTATACTGTCTTCATATTTCTGGATCCTTTTTTCTTT